CAGACTTCATTTCACGGAGACAATTAGAAGGAAAGTCAGCAGGAGTTGACGATGAACAGGGGTTGAAGGCCCTGTTGCGGGGCTGGGGGAAGAGAGACGGAAATGGATCTTAGAGCTGTATAAGGTCTGTGACAGGGAGGAGCATTTTGTTTTATTTTGTCGCTCTGAGATTTTAAATTTGATTTTAATTTTGGAAGGATGATGCTAGAAGTAAAGCTGTAGGGCCTTCTGCCTAGGCTCACACTCTGCTGAGTTTAATACTTGGCCTGGGGCTTTCATCTTAGACAGGAGAACTAAGTTTAATAAAGACTTATTTTTATTTCTGTTTGTGCATGAGGGTTTTGCCTGCATATATGTGTATGTATGTATGTGTATGTATGTATGTATGTATATGTACTGTGTGCAAGGAGGCTAGAAGATGGTGTCAGATCCCTAGGACTGACAAGCTGTGAGATGCCATGTGGGTGCTGGGAACTGAACCCCCATCCTCTGCAAGAGCAGACTGTACTCCTAAGTGCTGAACCATCTCTTCAGCCCCAAGAGTAAAAAGCCCACATGGTCCCCTGCCCCTAGGGCCAGAGATACTAGTGTGTCACCATCTACTCAATAGGAATGGTACAAATGTGTGTTCCTCTCGTATTTATAGTAATGGCATGAAAATGACTACTAATCAGTTTTTAAATGGGTTATTTTCCCAGTAGTGCGTTGAATTTGTGTTTCTCTCTAGACTTTTGTCTTGACGCTGCCATTCAGAGGCTTGTTACGCAATGGCATCTAACATCATGGGTTTGTGTGCCAAACTGCTCAATCTGCTTTTACTTGTCCATGTTTCTTTATTTCCCTTCATTCGGGCAAAATGAAAGGCTCAAGAGATTAAAGGGGGGGGGGCTGTTGGAAGATAAGCAGTGAGGGCTTGCTGGGTGTTTGGTGGGCTTGACGTTATTATTACCACAGAAGGATGGCTGGGGTTCTCCAAGGTGGCCTGGGGCCTCTGCACACCACAGCAGTCTCTGAGACAGCTTTAGATTCCTGGGAAAACTGTGACGGAGACTCTGACCCGACAGTACCCCCAAAGCTATAGAAGCTTAATACATAAGAAGCTCAATATATAACAATAAAGAGCAGCAGAGAAGGCAAGCAGTGTGTGGTCAGTACCATCTCGAAGCTTTGCAGCTCATGTATCCACCCGAACCACCAGTGGGACAAACAGCAAAAGCCCATTAACATCTTAAATATTTATTTATGTGTGCATGTGTACATATGTACACACACATGTGGCATACGTAGTACAATGGTGGAGAGCAGAGGAAAATTTAGGGGAGTGGGTTGTCTCTTTTTATCATGTGGATCCCAGGGATTAAACTCAGCCAGGCTTGGCAGCAATCACCTTTACTCCCTTAGCCATTTTGCAGGCTCTCCCAAAGTACATTTTTGTTGTTTTGTTTTTTGGAGACAGGGTTTCTCTATGTAACAGCTAGCTGTCCTGGAACTCTCTCTGTAGACCAGGCTGCCCTCGAACTCAACAGAGATCTTCCTGCCTCTGCCTCCTGAGTGCTGGGATGAAAGTTGTGCTTCACCACTGCCCTGAATTTTGATTTGCTCATTTAAATGATGGGAGAGACGTTAATTTTTGCCTGTTGGGGAACAGGATTTTAGGTTTCCCCAAAGACCATTATAAAGATCTTGGTTTATAATGAAAATAACTTTCCTACTTTCAGAAAGACAGCGAAATATAAGAACAGGAAATGTGCAAAAAGGGTAAATTCTGGCAACTGAATTGATAACTAGTGTACAAACATGACCACCCAGCTTTGTTGAGTAAATTCTCAAAGTTATCTGTTCTCAGCATCATACATTGTTACAACAGTGTCAGAGTTCTCTATTATCAGCATCATATACATTGTTACAACAGTGACAGAGTTCTCTATTCTCAGCAACATATACATTGTTACAACAGTGTCAGAGTTCTCTATTCTCAGCATCATATACATTGTTACAACAGTGACAGAGTTCTCTGTTCTCAGCATCATATACATTGTTACAACAGTGACAGAGTTCTCTGTTCTCAGCATCATATACATTGTTACAACAGTGACAGAATTCTCTGTTCTCAGCATCATATACATTGTTACAACAGTGACAGAGTTCTCTATTATCAGCATCATATACATTGTTACAGCAGCAATAGAGTTCTCTGTTCTCAGCATCATATACATTGTTACAACAGTGTCAGAGTTCTCTGTTCTCAGCACCATATACATTGTTACAATAGTGAGCATCATATACATTGTTACAGCAGCAATAGAGTTCTCTGTTCTCAGCATCATATACATTGTTACAACAGTGTCAGAGTTCTCTATTCTCAGCAACATATACATTGTTACAATAGTGAGCATCATATACATTGTTACAACAGTGACAGAGTTCTCTGTTCTCAGCATCATATACATTGTTACAACAGTGTCAGAGTTCTCTATTCTCAGCAACATATACATTGTTACAACAGTGTCAGAGTTCTCTGTTCTCAGCACCATATACATTGTTACAATAGTGTCAGAGTTCTCTATTCTCAGCAACATATACATTGTTACAATAGTGAGCATCATATACATTGTTACAACAGTGTCAGAGTTCTCTGTTCTCAGCATCATATACATTGTTACAACAGTGAGCATCATATACATTGTTACAACAGTGACAGACTGCATTATTAAACTGCAGGGGGCAGGCTTCACTGTCCTTTCCCCAGAGCTGCGCCTGTGAGAGAACCCTGAGGTGAGGAAGCAGTAACAGCAGAAAACATTCTGCAATCCCAGTACCTCTAATTGCCACTACTCACAAAGCTGCAAACAGTTCCCATGCAAATAAAAAACAAACATGGCAGAGACAGGCTGAGAGGTTAGGAGCATTTGTTGCTCTTGCAAAGGGCCGGTGTTTGATTCCCAGCATCTGTATGGTGGCTCACAACCACTTATAACTGAAGTTCCAGGAGATCCAATGCATGTACACGTGTTGCATATACACACATGCAGGCAAAACGGTTCCATACCAGGTAAAATAAAATCTAAGAAATATATACATGACAAATATTTAATTAATTGAAATAATTACCAAGGGGATAAAATTAGATGTTAAGGTTAACTCTCCTTTGGAGTTGTTGGCCAGTGAGGTCCTAGACCTACAAACACTGGCTGGACCAGTGCTCTGGGTCATTTTCCAGAATGTGGAAGACAGCACATATTTGAGTTAGAGAGAATGAACACAGAGAGGGGCTGGGGAGACAGCTCCATTTTTGAGAGCACTCTGATTTTCCAGTGGACCCAGGTTTGACTCCCAGCACCACCTACATGGTGACTCCCAACCGTCTGTAACTCCAGCTCCAGGGCATGTGACACCCTCTCTGAACTCCACAGGCACCACTCACATGCGGCACACAGAGATACATGCAAGCAAACACTCATATACACAGAAGATAAGGACACCTTTTAAAAAGAGCATGGAGAAATCAGCGCGGTACTAACTTGGAGGGCTTGTCCCTACTGGCTAGCTTTCTTAGCGTTCCCTGCAAGGAGCTGTGCTCACTGACAGGAGAGAGTAAGCATTGATCTTAAGTATCTGAAAACACTGTGAACTATAGTAAGTAATAGCTGGCCTCTTGAGAGAAGGCCACGGGTTCAGTACTGAAACAAATATTATGGGAGTGACCAGCCATCTTCTGATTGGGCTTAAAGCCTATTCCACCAACTGAAACACCTATCTTGGAACCATTATTGGAGCATTAAGGGGATGAAGAAGGCATTGAGTCCAAGATATGGAGAAATTGTAGATTCAGGGCCGTGTGTGTGTGTGTGTGTGTGTGTGTGTGTGTGTCCTCTGTATTAAATTCCTGTGTTTTAGGTTCTAGTTCAATTAAAGTCAGAGTGTCAGGAATTCCATTACAAATTGGCTAACATGCTCTTCTAATGTCCAGCGAATGGCACGTGAAATATACACATGGAAACATATATTTGAATGTGTTTTTCGCTGAGCAAAACGAACGGACAGGAATGTGAAAAGTGAAGGCATGTGTGCACACACTCACCCAGGACTCCTGGGAGACGGCAGACTTGATTAGCAGGAAGAAACACCATTTATCACTGTCCCTGCCAGGGTTGTCTAAGGTGATTTGTCATCTTTAAATTCGCCTAAAGTATTTATGATGGTCTGCTTACACGATGCTTCCTCTTTTTTTCCCATAAAAGAGATCATAAACAAGTTCCAGGTAGTACTAAGACAACATGTGCACAAACTTGTAAAGCTGTCCTGAAAACTTATCCTCAGCTGGTTTTCCCACATACTTTCAGAATCGTCTAGGATAGAAAGGGGAATTCCTAAGGCCCCTTTTCTGTGTGTGGTCTGGGGATGACTAAGAAAAAGACCTGTGAGAAACCCAGGGCTGGGAATGGCAAGTGGCAGGGGTGGCCACTGGGTGTCGTTGCTTCGAGGACCAGCATCCCTGAGGATGCTGGGTGTGTGTACAGGTAGTGCCCACTCCTCCACCCCAGCATCTGTAGGAGGCCTGGACCCCACCCCTGCTGTACAAGGCCAGCCCGGCACCCAGTAGTAAATGATATGAAATATTTTAGACAAGCCTTTGGTCCTTTCGGTTTATAACTTGTGGAGATTCAGAGGAATATTTGGGGGGAGTCAAATGGCTCTCTTTAAAACCAGAAGACTCTGGAAGGTGGACCTAACACCAGTAGTCTCCCACCGTGATCAGCCAAGGTTGGGGGTGGGGGGGCAGGCAGTCCTTTACCTTGGAATTGGGAGCCCATCTGGCCCCCTGCAACTGCAGGTCCTAAGAAGAGATCACAGCATCCGAGGGTCCTTCTCCTCACCCCTAAGGACACAAACTTGAAGCGGTAACGGATGGAGACTACAAACAGGTTTATGGCCTGCCAGCAGGGCTCTGGGCTCCAAATTGCCTGGCCAGGCAGTCCCTGGTGGTTTTGGCTGGTCGGATGCGCAGGGCCCCCGCGGTGTTCTCATTAGCGTCCACTCTGCTTAATGGCTTCCTGTGGCTGCTTGTTTACTTCTCCTGGGCCCGCGGCTTTGTTCTGGACACTGCTCGCCCTGCTCACTACTGTTCTTTCTTTGCTTGTTTGCAGCCACAGCCGGAAGCCCCGCCAGCATTCGCTCCCAAGGCCTCAACCCGGTTCCCTCCAAGGTCCAACACCTACCTGGTAAGACACGACCCCTTGGGCAGTTCCCTGAGCAGGAGCAGAACACTGCATACCCCAAAAGGCCCAGGAAAGGGAGAGCCGGCCCCCTGCCGCTCCAGGGGGAGGGGAGGGGGCTTGGCCCTCTCCATCAGAAACAACTACCGGTCTCCTGCCCAGGAGCTGGGGGCGGGGGGGGGGGGGGGGTCGGACTGACACGGACGACCCCAGCCCCACACATCCCTGGGCTTCTGGGCCTGGCTCTAAGGCTTGAGTTGGCAGCCCCCCCCCCGCCCCCTCCCCCGCCCCCGCCACACCCCAGCCCTGGGTCACCTCCTGCAGAGGGGGTAAGAGCTCTTCCTTTAGAGCGACACTGCTTGAGTTGAGATTGTCCACAGAAACCAGCTAACCCCGCTTCCCATTTCTGCGTTAGAAATTAGAAGGGGTGTCCGAGAAACAAGCTACGTTTGGATCACCCGAAACAAACCCTTGGCTAGGGGGCAGTGCAGTGCATGGCCACATTGTTTTGCATGAGGCCCGTGTGCTGGTCCCCTGCGTGGTGTCTCTAGTGCCAGGAGTCACGAGCTCTGTGTCTGCCGGCTACCAGAAGATACTCGCTTGCCTAAGGCTGCACAGGAAGTCCAGGGGTTAATCTCTGCACAGAAAGTGACTTTGGGATGGCCTTTCCCTCAGAACCACATATAAAAGCCACTTAGAACTATGTAAATGAGTACTTTTGCTCCCTCTCCCCCCCAAAAAAAACTGGAACGGAGAATGCCACCCTCAGCTTCTGGGAAGTTTCCTCTCAGGGCTGGAGGTAGTTATTGCTCCGCGGGTTCAAAGCCGACCACAGAGGTAGACCCCTGTGTCTACAGTGCAGAATTATATCTGAAAGAGGGAGAGTCCCGAGGCTGCCCTTTCCATTCCTATATGGCAATTAGGGTAGAGGGTGGTGGTCACAAAGGACAGTAACTTTAGATACCCACCTTCCCCCTTTGCCCTCATACCAGCCCTCCCCCCAGGCAAGAATCCCTCGGTGTTAACTTCAGGCTATTCCTAACTAGTCGCCTGCCTGCCTTCTGCTTGTTCCCTTCGATTGTGAAATGTGAACGAATGCACAGAATTTACGGACAGAAAACTTTAAGAGTGTGATGGGCAGTGTTAATTCTTGTGTCCATCTTGGCGGGGAACCCTGCCTGAGCTGAGGTAAACCGAAACTGCCCAGAAGGCACTCGGATATTTAGAAAGGGGGTTAATATTTTCACTCATCCCCTGACTTACAGTTTGCCATTAGAAATGCCTTTCCACAGTATGTGTTTACGTGTATGCTCATTCTCTTTGGAAATAAGATCATAGGGTTGCAAAATGAGCTGGCCAGGTGTGGAGTTCTGAAGAACATGACTGACTATGAGGATTTCTGGAAGCTGGCTCAGGAGGAAGCTCCAGTAGAAATGAAAGAAAAGCTCCAGAAGATAAGATTGAAATGTTTGTATATTTCTTTCTCCTCCCCATACTGGGGGTTTTTGTTGCTTTTAGCAGATGGATCTAGGAAGTGACAAGTGGTCCTGATTTTCAGCCCAGTTGGGCTCTTAAGACAGCTGAGATTAAAGATTTCTAATAATTCTACTAATAAGACAAAGGTTTGGGTGGTAAAATAAGCACCAGAAAGGAAAATGGTGGTTAATGTGGATCATGTTTTCCTTTCTGTCCAGTCTGTAGAGCCAGTGAAGAAACTCGTTTTGATAATTGACTGTCTACTTCTTGCTAAGAACTGATCATGCATGTATGTGACAAATGGGGTGGAGAGTTAGAGGGAAGGACCCCTTGCCTGTGTCTGCTGGGAAAGCAGCAAACTTGCTGCACAAACGCCAGGAAGGTGGATGAGCTGATGCGCGGTGGCATAGTTTTCCACAGCCAGCGTCTGTCTGTGTATCATGGGGACTGAAGTCTGGGGAAACTCACAAGCTATAAGTCTTCCTGGATGAGCACAGAAAGCCAAGCAACTTGGGCAAGTGGTCTAAACTGCCGATGGGAGTTAGAGTTCACAGTTTTCACTGCTGAAAGCACCTCTCTGTGAAGGTAAAAGGTGCAATTTTCAAGGTCAGTTTAGAAGTGTGTCCGCTGTCAAAGCTTTCTTGGCCCTTAATGGTTGTTCATATTTTATAAAAGAGCCCTGTGGGGCTGGGAGGGACCTGAGTACATTCTCCAGACTAGATCTTGTGAAAGCCAACTAAGGCACTTAACCTATAATCTCAACCCCAAGGAGATGGAGACCAAGGGTCCATAGAGATAAATGCCCAGCCGGGCTGGCTGAATTGGTGAACTCCTGGGCACTGAGAGACCTATTTCAAATAGTAAAATGGAGGGCTTGGAGAGATGGCTCAGTGGTTAGGAGCACTGACTGCTCTTCCAGAGGACCCTGGTTCAATTCACGGCACCAACATGGCAGTTCACAACGGTCTGTAACTCCAATTCTAGGGAACCCAACACCCATGGCAAAATAGCAATGTATATAAATCAAAGAAGTAAGGTGGATACATGTACACACACACACACACACACACACACACACACACACACACAGGAAGGAGGGAGAGAGAGAATGATAAATATTTTTTAAAATATATTTTTAATTACATGTGGAGCTTTCAGTTAAACTCTGGTCCCCAAGCATGCTGGGTAATTTCTCTACCACCAGCCAATATCCTGAGCTCTCTACTTAATAACAACCCCAATGAAAAACATCTTGAGGCTGAGTCTTATTCGGTTGCCTAGACTGACCTCTGGGTACTGGGGATTTGGATGTAGAATGCCACACCTAGATCAACAAATAAAAACATGTTATCACTTACATATACCGACTATATAAATGAACTCTGAAATTCAAAGATGAATCTTGTGTAGGTGAAAAGCCTGTAAATTTTAGTTTTATACCCAAAGGAACGATCTTTTCCAACACTGAACTGGATTTTCAACATTAAGCAGCCTACCTCAGCTTGGATCAGTACTTTTCTTGCATACACGTAATGAACATTTACATAAAATTACAAATTGGACTCACTGATCACTTTCTAATCTCTCTCCCCAGTGATGAATCCCAGGCCATGGCCACCAGCTGCTTCTAGGAGAAAAGAAACCAGGATGTTGGTCAGTGCTGATCAGGACAGTGGGGCGTGCCCGGGGACACAGGTAAGAATCCCTCTGGGGATGAAAAATGCATCTTCCAATGCAATGGGCTTGTTTTTCTATGCTGTATTCCTGGTGCATCTTCTCAGGAGAAGGACCATAATAGGATGGAAACAGCCTGGGGAGAGGTGTGGGTTAGCAAGAAAACCGAGTTACCTTTTACATTACCACGACCAAAAGAACAAACACAAAGGAACAGAAAACATGTTTATTGTGACTCTCAGTCCGCCATGGCAGGAGGGCATGTGCTCATGCCTGTGAAAGCACGTGGGGAGGTGGGCGCCCGTCATGGCAGAACAGGAAGTGAGAATCAGCTGGGCCCATGGAAACCTCCAGAGGCTCATCCCTGGGACACCATTCTGCCAACAGCCGGGTATCACTTTCTCGAATGATCCACCAGCCAGGGACTGAGTACCTGTGTGGGGAGCATTCCATATTTATACTACAACAACTGGAAGCAATTGTTTGGTGAGATAGAAAATTACTCAATTTTTATTCTATGAAATCTCGGTGCAATCAATTCAGGAAGCCTTCCTATCAGAGCATGCTTGTTGGGGATGAAGGGAGTGGCTAAGAGAACTAACTTGCCGCTCTCCCAAGGCCAAGGACATTAGTTCAGTTCCCAATTACCCACCCCAGACTGAAGCTCCTGTAACTCACCTTCCAGCCTCCAGTGAGCATCTCTCTCTCTTCCCCTCTCCCTCTTCCTCTCTCTTCTTCCTCCTCTCATTCAAGAAAACAGAAAGTAGGCTTTCTGCCATCTCACAGGGTCTGTGTTTCTGATGAGGAAGGGCAGTTCTGTGGAGTAGAGGCGGCTCAGCTGAGAGCTGGATTCAGCCATTGTCTTAGGCTCTACATCAGGGCACGAGGCTGGTGATCTGGTCTACCACAAGCTTCCAGTGCCTCACTGGACCCTGCTAGTCTGTGTCTCTCCAGCTGAGGGACTCCATGCTAAGCTAAGGAGCCTCTCCACCCAGGCAGACGGCAATAGTGTAGATGTTAAAGACGGAAGGATCTTGGGAGTCAGTGTGGACTATGTATGCATGTGTGTGTCCAGGCTGTGCGGGGGGCCAATGGTATTTCAGTTTTGCTTGTTGGGTTTTAGTTTATACATTCATTGTGGTGATGCAGAAGCTCGTTCCTGGGGGAAGTAAGTCTGAATTTGACCTTTGATCTTGCTCCCTAACAGATGGTTTGGGTGGCGTGTCAACCTCTCCGGCTCACTTCTTTCTCTAGAGAGGTACAAAGACTATGTCTTTTCAAAAGGCCCTCATAAGAGGGGCCCGCAGTAAGAGGTCCAGGGTACAGACCCTTCTGAGGACAAGCTCGAAGACTGAATGCTGCTGAGAACATTTCCCACCACAGACAGTTGTATCAACATTTAATTTTCTTTTTGAGACAGAGGCCTGCTCTACAGCCTGGGTTGACCTCAGACTCGAAGTCCTTCTGTGCCAGGCGCCCAAACACTGGGATCATAGCCGTGTGCCACTGTAATCAGCTCCAATAACCTTCATAACTTAGTGTGTTGTGTTTTGTACTTCTCTGCTGGAAAGCTATTTGTGCCCGAGTGGGAGCCAGCATACTTAGACACATTCTTTCCGCTGTAGACAGTGCTGGGCCGTGCTCTCGTGGAAGATTGCCTCACACACAGGTGCCAGGAGCACCTCATTTTTCCGTTTGCTACACAGACTGTGTTTGGGGAGGGGGTCGGGCAGTCTGTCAGATGGTTGAACTTGGCTGAGACTTTAATTTACAGTCAACGGTTTAATTTGCTTGCCGCCTAACTGCATTTGCTGGAGAGGACAGAGGGCCCTTGGCTATAGACTCCAGATCCGCCTGGCAATTTTGAAACAAAATAAGTCATACGTGCAGCTCAGGAAAGGCGGTTTTCTCGGATAGTGGTCTTTTTTCATCTCTGTAGAAATCTCAACGTGATGGGGTTCAGGTGGGTGCGGGGGAGGTGACTGGGTTTAGGTAAGGTTGTCAGGCAGGATGAGTGCTCCCATGAAAGGAATCTGGGGAGGGCCTTTGTTGCCCCTCCTCCTACATGTGAGCACATAGTAAGGGAGGTGGCTGTCTGGCTCCATGCCTTACCGCCACCTTTCAGACCATGAGAAAATAGATCCCTGCTACTTACCCAACCCAGCCTGTGGTGTCCTGTGACAGCAACCCGAGCTAAGACAGTACTCCATTGTATGCATTGCACAGTTCCTCCTTTGCCGTGGGTAGCTTCAGAGACCAGAAGGGGGGATCTGGGGAAAAGTAGAGCTCAGATCAATATGAGTGATATTGATCTGACCCATGAATATGAGCCAGTATGACCAGAATGACCCAGGAAGGGGCACGATCTACCACCCTCTCTTTGCAGCTACCCGTTACCTAGATCACCTATAGCTCTAGGGGCGAGAGCAGCTGAGAATTCCTCTATTCATTACAGCGGGTCAACTGGCGGTGGCATTGTCTGGGTCTTGTTAGGTAAACACCGTGGGTTGTTTGTTTGTTTTTTTTACATGTGTGAATGCTTTGCTTGCATATATCTTGTATCTGCACAGTGCTCACAAAGGCCAGAAGATGTGTTGGGCCCCCTGAAACTAAAATTAGACTGGTTGTTAGCTGCCGCGTGGGTGTTAGGAACCGAACCCCATGTCCACTGGAAGAGCAGCTAGAGGATTTTTGTTATTATTAATTTATTTTCTATCCCTACTTCACTTCTCCCATTCCCTCCCCTGAGCTCCCCTCTGTCCCACCCACCCTGACCGCCCACTCCTCTAGTTCTGTTCTTAAAGGGGCAGGCCTCCCGCGGATATCAACGAAAGCTGGATATCAATGAAAGCTGGCGTATCAAGTTGCAGTCAGACTAAGCACCTCCCTTTGTGTTAAGGTTGAACAAGTCCATCTTAATAGGGTCCCAGCCAAAGTGTCTGCTTCCACTGTCCCACATGAGTAGGGGGCATAGGGCAGTCCCATGCAGGCTCCCTGGCAGTCAGCCCAGACTCTGAGCTCCTACTGCTAGGAATAAAGCGAGGTAGGGAACTTCGGTGCATTCAGTGGCAGATGAGGGTGACCAAGGTGGAGGACAAACGTGCCAGGCAGATAGAGCTTAAGTGAGAATCTTTATTAGAAAGGGGAGGGAAGGGGAAGGAAAAAGTGGTAAAGAGACAGAGGACAGAAGGGAAGAGGGAGACAGGAAACGTCCTGCCTGCCCCAGGGGAACCTCGGGACAGGGGCAGAATCTGTCTTTTAAGGGGTCCTTTGCACCTGGGCTGACCAGGGCACTGCCTGAGTGCATTCTGCCAGGTGACAGGGGCAGGCCAGCGTCATGCCTGAATCCTTATACCTATGCACCCAGGTTAGTTGATTCTGTGGGTTTTCTTGTGATGTCCTTGACGTCTCTGGCTCCCACAATCCTTCCCCCATCTCTGCAGCAGGGTTCAGCCTGACGTCTGGCTGTGGGTGTCTGCATCTGTTTCCATCAGTTGCTGGGCGATGCCTCTCTGATGACCACTGGGGTTGGCACCAATCTATGAGTGTAGCAGAAAGCCGTTAGACATCATTACATTGACTTGTTTTCCTTCTCCCATCATGTTTGGTTCTGTCTTAGGTCTCTGAGCCATCCTGCCTCTTGTGACCCTGGCTCTCCAGGGTGTCAGGGGTGGGCTCGCTCTCTCACACGGCGTGGGTCTCAGGCTGGACCGGTCATTGACTAGCCATTGCCGAGGTCTCTGTGCCACCCTTACCCCAGCACAGACTGTGGGTCAGAGGTTACGTGGCTGGGTTGGCGTCCACTGCAAGTCTTGCCTGGCCAAAGGAGATGGCCAATTCAGGCTGTGTCCACTATTGCTAGGAGTCTCAGCTGGGGGTTTCCCTTGCACAGAGTTTCTACCTGACCCCAAAATGCCCCCTCCCAGCCATCTCCTGCTTCATCTGCCCCTCCGCCTGCCCGATCCCCCATATTCCCATTCTCACCCATCCCCAGTCCGCCGACGAGATCGCTTCTATTGCCTCTTCCCAGCACCTTCCTCTCTGGGCCCGTCTTGTTACCTAGCCTCTCTAGGTCTTTGGATTTTAGCATGGTTATCCTTTACATCTTATATTCACTTATAAATGAATATATGCCATGTTTGTCTTTCTGCATCTGGGGTTTCCTCACCCAGTATGATTTTTTTTCTAGTTCCATCCATTTGCCTCCGAATTTCATGATGTGGTTGTTTTTAACAGCTGAGTAATACTCTATTGTGTAAATGTACTACATTTCCTTTATCCAGTCTTTGGTTGAGGGGCATCTAGGTTGTTTCCAGGTTCTGGTCGTTACAAATAATGCTGCTCTGAACATTGTTGAGCAAGTGTCCTCATGGTATGATTGAGCATCCTTTGGGTATATGCTTTGGGTCTTAAGGTAGATCCATTCCCAATTTTCTGAGAAGCCACCATACTGATTTCCAAAGTGACTGTATAAGTTTGCACTCCCACCAGCAATGGAGGAGTGTTCCCCCTTTCTCTATTACCTTTCCAGTATAGGCTGTCACTTGTGTTTTTGATCTTAGCTATTCTAAAAGATGTAAAATGGAGCCATCTTTCCAGCCCCAAGATTTTTAAAAATTATTTTATTTAAATAACATTTTGAGATTTTTTTTTAATGAGTGTTTTTCTGCGTGTATGTAAGAACACCAGGTACATGCAGTGCCTGTTGAAGCCAGAAGAGGGTGTGAGAGCCTCTGGAGATGGATACATAGCCATTTCTGAGCCTCCGAGTGGCTTCTGGCACCCTCTAACTCTTGATCCCCCTGTGTTAGCCACCTGGTTCTGGAATGCAGCATACCCATCTGTGATAATCAGAGGGCTGTGGGAAAAGACTCTGGAGAGTGAACTAAAAGCAAACAGTGTCCTGGGTAGGTGTTTGACACACAGAAGCCTGCTCCTCATGGAAGGCTGTGAGACCTAGGCTGGCAGGTTACTGACAAGCGCTCTGGATATGAGCTGGATACAATCTTGGTTAATCTTCC